AAATTAACAATCGAATAATATCTTTAAATGATTATTTTTATAATATTTATGGGAATCATACAATTAATCTAACACAATAATTAATGGGAAAATGTTTCAAAGGTATTTTATTAATGAAAAAAAAGTGTATTTAATTATTGTCATCGTAGTCGTCAATATCTTGAGTGTCTTCATCATCGCTGCTCCAACAAGTGGGTTGGTCGTCATCAACATCGTCTTCTTCTTCGCCAGTTTCTGTAATAATTAATCCATGTTAACATAATCATAAATAATTATAATTTCCTCAATAATATTGTAACATCATAATTACATACCTGATACAGTTGTTAGAGAATCACTGACGTAGTTTGGTAGCTGATCACCTTCAAACCATTTAAAATGATATTGATCATTTTGCAAGATCCAACCATTATTTTCTGGTTTGTATGTAGTTGGTTTCTTGAGGTGAGCATTATTCCAAATAGTACAAATATAATTTGCCCGCAAAAATTGCTGAGATAGCTCACTTTTACAAGGTGGCAAACTGCTGGCATCGAAACTTCGTAATTTTTTTCGATTAAATGCCTCGTTGACATCAGAGACTGTATAGGAATCTATAAACATTTGGAATCGTGCTGTATCAACATCAATAATATTACCAGCATTGTATAAATTGCATATATATCGCTGAATGGTTTTAAAGACGTTTTCTTGTTCGAAAACAATATTATTTTTCCATCACTTTTCTTACATAGAAAACAAATTAATTGTTCTTCCATGATCACACTGATTTTCCCTTATTACTTTATAAACTGAACAAAAAAATAATAAAACGCTTGCTGTACGTATTACTATTCACCACTTAATACACAATAAATGACAGCTGATGCGCAGTAAAACGTCGCAATGGACCGAACGCGCTATTTCACTCGCACCCGCTGACACATATTTCCCTCGCGCTCGCACCTACATTAGACTTTTGATGTGCCTGGCAACATAAAGGAACCACTGAAACTGTCTGGCTATTGAGAAAACATTATTTTATAGTTATCCAAATAACATATATAAATTGCAGCTTTTATACTATACCGTAAGTATAGTAACAATTAAATATACTTTAAGGGTGTCTGGCAGAGGGTTGGAACCGTACGAAGTGTCTGGCTTTCGGCAAGGTGACTTTTAGGATTATTATAAGTAAAATATGTAAAAACTGAGTTTTATACTTTACCAAATTTAACACACAATTTTACACACCTTTATTACCTGATACCTGCGAAAGCCACCGCGACCCAAGTTACATAGACGGGGTTCGTTCTTACCTGTGTTGGGGACTTACATTGAGAAACTTACAGCTTTTATACTTTACCGAAGGCCTGCGGGCCGCCGGCTCTTGCTCTAAAATGGGTTGCAACAAAACCCACATTTTATTTCAAAATTTTTTTAAACGTGTAACTTCTTCATGTTTAAATCTAAAATAAATATAATTGGATTAAATTTGGCTCGGCGAAATTTTTCTAGCCATTCTTAATGGCTAGAAGAATAATTCGATGCGGCCAACAGGGCCGCGGTAGCATAATTGGTCAGTGCATTCGCCCGGATAGCAAAGGGTGCGGGTTCGAGCTTAGATTAAAACAAAAAGGGTAGATAGGGTACGCTCATACTAGCATCAAATAAAATATGATCCGACTCAACTACATAAGCAACTCACGCCACTCACACCTCTGTATATATTATAAACATATAAACAACAATCGAGCAAGCGAGACAGAACTATACGCTGCAATGCAGCGTATTGTTGTCCTTTTCTTGCTTACATAATGGCGATTACGTAAATAATATTCACGACAAACCGTGAATTTTGAGAAAATGTTTTCACAGTTTTACGAATGAAAAGTGTTGCCGGGGCATTTGATTTTGAACTATTTGTGTTCTTTATAAAAGCATCGAAGGCATTGTTATATCTTCATAACACAGAATATACACAATATTGTTATATTGAGTGTACATGCAGCGTGTTTGAATGTCAAATTGTGACTAAAGCGAATTATGGTCATGGACCACAATTTAAGCGGATCACTTTTGAGCCGCGAATGCCGTATCTTCCCTTTTTGTTTTATTCTAAGGGTTCGAGTAAATTTTTTTCTAATTATATTTCCACTATAATGTTCACATCGCAAGCTTTTAACTGTAAGCGTAAAAATGGAAAATAAACGAAATCAAACTGCCTCAAAAGGACAATGCAACGAACGGCGCTTCAAAAAGACTAAAAGCTGGGCGTTAAGCGTGATTTTCGTTTTTTTTCTCCCACACCTGTTGCTCCTACTGGAACTCTGAAAATTCCTCTTTTGTGTAGGTGCGTCCGGAAGAGTAAAACTTTTCGCTGAATCCCAAACTTCTTAATGAAACTGTGGAACTGGAGTGTTGTGCGATATTTCTTTTTTGTCTTTCGAACGCTCTTCATTAATTGCATTATTTGTCTGGTCTGTTCTTAATGGAGTTAAATTGTTTCTGGAATTTTCAGTTCCAGTTTCGATGTTGTTCTTACAATGTGCGTTTATTTTTACTTTTACAAGTTTAAAGAAATAGGCATAATTATGGTTGCATCACAATACATATATGATAAATTAGTATTTGTCGAATAAAATGCTACTTAAAATAGTGAAATACATACACTTAATACTAGATGTAAAAATAATTTAACTTTACCTGCTACTAGGCTCCACAAAATTAATAATTCGTTTAGAGGTCTCTGTGTTCGCTTTTACAATAAAGTCCCAAGCAATATTCAAAAGTTAAGCCTGACTAAATTTAATTCGACAATTAAAAAATCACTTGTTAAGAAAGCTTATTATAAAGAGTCTTATTATATTACAGACAAAAAATGCTTGGGTTTGAACTGTTCCAACCATTCCAATGGGTATTTCTGTATGATATATATTATGAATCATGTGTCGACGATACTTCTATTGAATTTTTATTGAATCTCTATTTAAAGTTAATTACTTAAGGAAGAATATCAGACTATTTAGGAACATTTGAATGACATAACGACGTGTTCGTGATTTCGCAATTGTTTTAGCTTTGTAATTGTTTGCAGTGTCCTACAGATAAATTACTTTAATTTAAAGTAAATATGTTGTGGTTAATATAGGTGGTTATGGGTAGTCATGCTCTCTAAAAAGTCTCTTCGGTGGTGTCGTGTAAGGCGGGTCGTTACGTTTCCTGAAATATAGTTGAGTGAAGAGATGGCTGGTTCATGCGTCATGCTCGTGAGCGAGTGCTGCCAGCGGAGATGAGTCTGCCCTAACTACTTTGATATTTAAGATGTAAATCTCTAGTTACACCTAAAATAAAACTATTTGTATTTATACTGTATGACTCAGCAAATAAAATGCAGGTGAACAATTACTGCATAATTTCACATTATGGAATGAAAGGTGACTTCATGAATCATCTCTGAAGTCATTTTCATCTTAACGACTCTGTAAATAATAAAACAGTGAGAAAAAAACAGCCCTTGCTGAGTTTCTTGCCGATTCTTCGCAGTACAAGGTCTCCCGCCGTAGATTTACGAACCGATGGCGTAGCTTCTAGACCAGGGGTTCCCAACGTTTATGGTCAGGGACCACTTTTACATTATTTCTTTTATGGCACGGACCACTATTTAGTCACTAAATAACTAAATTTTAGTGTAATAAAAATAAACCGTAATAATCAAACTGACAATTTAATTAAAAATCTAATATGAAATTAAATAAAAAGAAATAATAATATCATTTTTAGCGGGCGCGCCCGCTAAATTCAAATTCATTCGCGGACCATATTTTGGCTTCAGCGGACTACTGGTGGTCCACGGACCACTGGTTGGGAACCATTATTCTAGACATTCATGAGTGCTTGAAACAGCCTAAACTGAATAAACGATTTTAATTATGATTATGATTATAATGTACTCGGAAATAGTATGATTAAAATTAAGTTTATTTAAAATAGTAAGGCCACAGTAAAATAATACAACCATTTGGTGCTATTGTGTCTTTGTCAGTGAGTATTTGAATAAGGTTCCAGGTCTTCACGAGGTAGAGGATTGGTTCAGGTAAGGCAACGCCATGTAAGGTTTTGTATAGGTAAAAATGTTAAACTCGCGTCAGGTTAAACACGTGGGCTGATCGCATCATGACACACAATAAAATTGGAAAGGTTTTCACTTTCAATATATTGGACGAAACATAGTAATATTTTATTTTATCGTATTATAATAATAAGTTTCTATCTAGGACGTCCACGTGGCAGCTTTATTGCGAAGAAAATACATTTTTTTACAACAGATGTCGCTGGGTGCGCTTATACGTGATTCATGTAAGTTGATTATTCTGAGAGATAAACTTTTAAATTGTCATGTTTGTGTACGATAGCGCAATAAATAAATATTGTATTCTACCACATACATGATAGTACTTTTATACGGATAATTAAAGCAATTCGTGCAAAATTATTACCTAACCATTCCAAAATATCAAAAACGCACAACGTTAATATTCAAGTTTTCACTTCTGCCGGCACTCCCGGAGTGCAACCCGTCGTTTTTTTTGTATTGCAAGTGTCTATAGGCTTTAATTACCGCTCACCATCAAACGGGCCTGGCGCTTGTTTCCCGCTCTTTTAACATAAAAAAATGATGATGATGATGAGTTCTTCATCACCATCAGCCTATTAATATCCCCACTGCTGGGGCACAGGCTTTCCCTATGGATGGAATAGGGAGATTGGGCCATGACCCAGCACGCGGGCCCAGTGCGGATTGGTGGGTGCTAACGACTGCAGATGCAGCAGGGACCAACGGCTTAGCGCACCTTCCGAAGCACGAAGGATCTCGAGATAGTAAATTTTTGGTCACCCATCCAATGACCGACCACTGCGAAAGTAGCTTGACTTCAACGATCGCAGCCGAACGCGTTAACCACCCGTGCCATCGAGCTCCTCGAACTCACTTGAGCGAATTCTGTGAAAAAAGTACTCACCTGTGCGTAATCTGTGCTCACAGAGTTATGTCCGAAAACGTAGAAGAAGGACTGCATGTTGGACTTGCTCTGGTAGTTGGCGAACTCGACGACGGGAGACAACGTCCTCGCGTCGCTGAAGAGGTTCAGGATCACATCTCTGTTGGTCTCCACGCTCCATCGCTGTGGGTCCAGTTTGGATGGAGAATACCTGAGGATGGAAATTGAATTTGTTATTCATAACGTGAAGCTCGATGGCGCAAGTGGTTAGCGCGATCAGCTGCGATTGTTGAAGTTAAGCAACTTTCGCAGTGGTCGGTCATTGGATGGGTGACCAAAAATTTACTATCTCGAGTTCCTCCGTGCATCGGAAGGCACGTTAAGCCGTTGGTCCCGGCTGCATCTGCAGTCGTTAGCACCCACCAATCCGCACTTGGCCAGCGTGGTGGGTCATGGCCCAATCTCCCTATTCCATCCATAGGGAAGGCCTGTGCCCCAGCAGTGGGGACATTAATAGGCTGATGATGATTCATAACGTGAATGGGTCAAATCACCAAAATAAACAATTATGAAATGCGAAAGTTTGTAAAAATTATGATGCTCGGGAATCCTAAAAAAATACTACTAAAAGAAGCGCGCAAATTATGTATATTTTAAAAAAAATATAACTAGAAAAAATTCCACGCGGACCAGGCAGCAGACGGGACTCGACCCGCACCCTTCCCAATCCGGGCGAATGCACTGACCAATTATGCTACCGCGGCTCCCACAGACCGCGTCGAAATTCCTCTAGCCATTCTTAAGCTGCGAGGCAGCGCCATCTCTTCGCATTATAGGTAATCCACACCTGGCTTAGTCCGCGTGGATTTTTTTCTAGTCATATTTTCTTTAGATATAAACATCAAGCAGTTACATTGTTTAAAATATATATATATATATATAATGTATATTTTAATTATTTATGCACGATTCCAGACAGACTTACTCATCAACGCACAGCTGAAACGGCTGGACCTAGAATGATGAAATTTGGACAGTTGATTCCTATTATTGCCTAGATAAGTAATGAGCGGTGATTTTGTTGAAATTCAGCCATTAATTTTTCCAAGTTACCCCCATCAAACAAAGATATAGCATGTTGAAGTTTTAAATAGTGCGTTAACGCACGCCTATACTTTTGGTCGTAGAGACATCATATTTAGTAAATAGGTTGTTTAAATGCATCAAGCGAGAAAGGATTTTTAAATATAGACCAACGTGAATTCGGAATAGAGGCTCAAAGTTTGTATGGGAAAATGAGTTTGGCTAGCCTGACAGCTTTGAAACTTAGCTTAGTGTTAAATAAACTAAACTGAAACTTTAAAAAAATGTTTGATGTTTTTTGTAATTCCATCTCTATGACGAGAAATAAGGATAGCAAGTTAACTATAAAATATATTCAACAAAGGACAAAAATGTAAGGACGCTGCACCCACGTCCGCCACGGCTTAAACTACATTTGTTTGAAAGGTATTATACTCGCGCCTCGTCCGAAGAGATTAGTAACTAAAACAATATATTATTATATACACATGTAGTAACGCATAAGTACTACCACTCTGCACTAAGTTTGGATGTATAAAAAAAATTCATTTGCCTATTGGGCTTTTTTTTTTTTTTGAAATGTGGGTATTCTTTACTTGCTTCTCTTTGTCTACGTCAGCTCCCATCATTCGCATTTTAGTGCCCAACCACTTAAGTCACGCTCTTTTTAGGCTATTTTTAGTATTAAAATGCCGAAACGTAAAGGTTCGCGGACACAGGAAGAAGAATTTAATCACTTAATGCGTAAAGTTCGAAAATTAGAACGCAAGATTCGTAAAAATAAAAGTGATAGTGACGGTGAATCGTCTCGGTCTCGTAGTCCGTCGGTTAGAGAAAACTCAACCTTATCTGGAGGTGATAATGATGCAGGTATGTCACTAGTATTCTCTTATACTATAAATATTTTAATCATGCACACGGAGTAGCCGCTGGGGCTGTCTCAACGCATAATTAATGGTTAACGTGCAACCCGCTGGGGGTTGTGCATACAACCTAACGAAATAGTAAATAACAAACGTTATATACTCATATCAATTTTAAATACTTATACAGATAAAATAGTTGTGCTTACCTAAAGATATAATTAAACTTACTTATTTTTTATATTCAAAATCACACTTATAAACGTATTTACGTTATGTTACATAATGTACTCGGAGCAGTCATTGGGGCTCGCTCAAAACATTATGTTATACATTAAGGACACATTTATCGATAAAACGCTAGACCTCTAGTCATTATTGGGCGTCGATAAAATTCAATGGAATTGGTTTTCATTATCATAGTTGCATTATGTATTTGCAGTCACCCCAACCCCACTCGTTCAAGCGAAGGACTGGTTAGAACCCGAGTATGAGATTACCGAGTGTATTCCTATAGCCAGCCAAGAGACCCCTCACATCGATGGCGCCGATATATCGCAAGCTGGCCCGAGCACTTCCACCCCCGTAGCACAGATTGAGAATTCGCTGACTGTGAGCGATGAACCTTATCTAGATACCGACATATTAGATATATTAGGCGATGATCCGTCATCTTGCGTAAAGTATGACCCTGATATAAGGAAAGAATTGGCATGTCGTCTCCAACACGTGGCTACAGAGGGCCTTAGCAAAGAATGTCGTAAAGAACTACTGAACAAATATTTGATTCCAGCTAATTGTGTCCACATTGATGCTCCAAAAATCAATCCGGAAATCAAAGCTGCTATTCCAGAAAATTTTGTGAAGCGCGATAAAGGAATCGAGTCTAAGCAGAAACAAATGGCTACTGCTATTTCCGGCCTAGGTCAAATAATTACGACGCAACTTAATTCTAAAGATAAAAATAATGATACATTACAAAGGCTCATGGACATTAGTCGTCTCTTGTGTGATTTACAACACGCAGATTCTGTTACCAGGCGAAATTTTATATTTTTTGGTCTGAAGAAGGATTTAAAGGAACACTTGACAGATACCAAAATTGACAGCTTTCTATTCAGTGAGAACCTGGCTGAAACGTTGAAGTCGGCAAAGGCCGTTAGCAAATCTGGAGTCGAATTAAAAGCAGATTCCAATAGTAAAGCCGTCAATAAGCCAAAACCTACTACCAAATATTTAAACCGCAAAGCTCCTCCCCGGAGCCGCAGGCCACTGGGGACCGCGCCAACAGCGCAGAGGAGCCGGGAGCCTGCGGCAGCGCGAGCGCAGCCACCTCCGCCGCCCGCGCACTCATCGAGGACGTCGTACGCGCAGCACCCGGCGCAAGCGCGTCGCCGCTACTAGATAATGTTGAGTATGCCGGCCGTTTGACCCATTTTTACTATCAATGGTCTCTTATTACAAATGATCGCACTATTTTATCTTGGATAAGCGGTTACAAAATTACTTTTTCAAAACCGATAGAACAGAGTACTTTACCAGTACCACATGTGTATTCAATTAAAGAAAAAAATGTTTATTTTGAATCCATAAACAATTTGCTTAAAATCGGAGCCATATCTGAATGTGCCCCTTGCGATGGCCAATTTATATCTGACATTTTTTTAGTACCGAAACCGAATGGCAAAACTCGTTTTATTTTAAATCTCAAAAAATTAAATCAGTTCATATCTACAGACCATTTCAAATTGGAAGATTTACGAACTGCTCTCAAAATAGTCACACGCGATTGTTATATGGCAACTGTCGATCTTAAAGACGCTTATTTTTTGATAAAAATACATAAAGAGTCAAGAAAATATCTACGCTTTTTATTTGACGATAAATTATACGAATTTAACGTTTTACCATTCGGTCTTAGTACAGCACCATACATATTTACAAAAATTACAAAACCTGTAATTAAATTACTACGATCTGCTGGGTTATTGTCAACTTTATATCTCGATGACTGGTTTTTACTTGGACACACGTACCAACAGTGTCTGTTAAACTTAAAAGTAACTAAGCGGTTATTAGTCTCACTTGGATTTATTGTCAATGAGGAGAAAAGTTGTACCATACCCTCGACTGCTTGTAAATTCTTAGGCATGATCATAGACTCCCATAAGTATCAGGTCAGTTTACCAATTGAAAAGAGATCGCGAATTAAATCAGAACTGCAAAGCTTCTTAAAGATAAAGCGCTGCAAAATTCGTAGATTAGCACAACTTACTGGCTTATTAATATCAGCATGCCCAGCCATTGAATACGGATGGTTATACACAAAGGAATTCGAACGTTGTAAATTTCTTAACTTAAAAGCCTATAATGATGATTATAATAAGGTAATGAATGTTCCTGAATCATTACTTCCTGATATTCTCTGGTGGTTGAATAATATAGACCATTCTGTCCACCGCATTCGTACTGACAAATACGTTACAGAAATATTCTCTGACGCCTCAACTACGGGGTGGGGGGCGGCGAGTAAAGGAGAAACTGCCAGTGGACAGTGGTCTAATAGTGAAAGAAAAGAACACATCAACTACTTAGAGTTATTAGCTGCTTTTATTGCTCTTAAAATATTCGCACAAAATTATTATAATTGTCAAATACTTTTAAGGGTAGACAATTCCACTGCAATTGCCTATATCAATCGTATGGGAGGTGTTCAATATCCGCATTTAACTAAAATCACTAGGGATATATGGGAGTGGTGTCAAGCTAGGAAGTTATTTATTTTTGCTTCTTATATTAAATCCAAAGACAATACAGTAGCTGACTTTGAGTCACGGAAATCCCATCCTGATATCGAATGGGAGCTTGCGGAGTGGGCCTTCTCATGCATAACCAGAACATTTGGACAGCCTGAGATAGACATATTTGCAAGTCGTATTAATAAGAAGTGCAAAACATATATATCTTGGCACAAAGACCCTGATGCCTCTGCTATAGATTCTTTTACTGTACCATGGTCAGAGTTTTATTTTTATGCTTTCCCTCCTTTTTCTGTAATATTAAAAACATTAAGAAAAATTATCACAGATAGAGCACGAGGCATCATGGTCGTACCTCATTGGCCAACACAACCTTGGTACCCTATCTATCAAGCCCTGCTTGTGTCGGAAACAATTACATTTCCTCCAAGTACATGTGCCTTAATCTCACATTCCAGCTCAGCCCGGATACACAACTCGCTTACCCTGGTTGCAGGAGTATTATCCGGAACGCACTATCAAGGAGAAGTGTACCAACGTCGGCAGTAGATATTATGATGGCATCAATAGCTGAAAAATCACTTCAACAGTATAATGTTTATTTAATTAAATGGTGGGATTATTGCAAGTCCAATTCAGTTGATGTTTATGAGGCATCCGTACCCACTATCATACATTTTTTAACACAAATGTATAATAATGGATCTCAATACGGGACGCTAAATTCTTGTAGATCCGCACTCTCGTTAATATTAGGAACAAAACTATCAAATGATGACAGACTATGTCGGTTTTTCAAAGGTGTCTTCCGTCTTCGACCACCCACCCCAAAATATAACATTACATGGGACACCAATCGTGTATTGGATCGACTGAGCGAGTGGTTTCCTAACGAAGACCTATCTCTTGAACAACTATCAAAGAAAACTGTAACATTACTAGCTCTTTCCACTGCACAGAGAATGCAGAGTCTCGCTAAAATAAATATAAATAATATAGAAACCACAAACGATCAATACGTAATTAAAATTCCTGACATTTTAAAAACAAGCAAACTCGGTTGTAAGCAACCGGTCTTATTTATTCCTTTCTTTAGAGATAAAGTTAGTATATGTCCAGCAACAACTTTATGTCAATATTTACATAAAACCTCACCGTTAAGAAAGTCTAACGAACTATTTATTGCTATTAAAAAACCACATAATCGTGTAGGAACCCAAACACTCAGTCGATGGGTAAAACATACGCTAGGCGAGTGCGGTATTGATTCTTCCATTTTTACCGCGCATAGTACGCGGCACGCCGCTGCATCGCAGGCGCATTTGCGAGGCGTTAGTGTTGAGGCAATCCGCAACACCGCGGGGTGGAGTGGTAACTCTAACACCTTCGCCAAGTTTTACCACAGAGTAATAGTTAACACTGATGAGACTGCCTTAGCACATTCCATTTTTAACTAGGCTTAAAATATACTCATCTTAGGTAATTACGAATTACTTAAATTCCTTTTCTATTTACGAAATCCATAGAAATCCTGATTGGATAATGATGAATTATTGATAATTAGTTTACGAACAATGAACTTTTGATTATACATAAAATAACTTATAACTATTGTAATTATTATGATCAATAATTATTGTTAGTTATATACTTAATTATTAGCAATTATAAGAAAAATATCATTTTTAGTTTTAAAATTATTAAAGTTAAATAATTTTGAAACCCAATCTTTTCATTGATATTTTTTACCATAACTCTCAAAGTCTACATGTGTATATAATAATATATTGTTTTAGTTACTAATCTCTTCGGACGAGGCGCGAGTATAATTAATGATTAAACGAACTTACCTTAAGTGAAGTTCTATCATAATTATACGAAGCGCCTCGTCCGAAGAGATTAGTAAATCATCCCTCCCGCCCAGAACCCCAATATTAAGTAAAAATACATCAATGAAGACTTTAGACTAAATGATGGGAGCTGACGTAGACAAAGAGAAGCAAGTAAAGAATACCCACATTTCAAAAAAAAAAAAAGCCCAATAGGCAAATGAATTTTTTTTATACATCCAAACTTAGTGCAGAGTGGTAGTACTTATGCGTTACTACATGTGTATATAATAATATATTGTTTTAGTTACTAATCTCTTCGGACGAGGCGCTTCGTATAATTATGATAGAACTTCACTTAAGGTAAGTTCGTTTAATCATTAATTATAGTCACGATAATCTGTGCCAAAGCGCATCAAATTCCATCCCGGGGGTCTTTAGTTAAATAGGTACAAGTACTATTACGAACGAACATTAATGAAACAAGGGAATTAATTTAGTTAGATAATTCTACCGCACATAGAGGGCTCAGGTATTATGGGAGTACTTCACAAGGTGCAAGGGTGCCCCCTTATGTTATTCAGCCACGCTGAAGTTAATCCAAAAATCCCCGCATAGGTTGGGGTTTTTTCAAACAGTCTGTTCGTAAGAGTAAATTGTCTTCTATGTAAAACGGAGCGACCACAAATCACACAAACTTGTCCACGCTTCGGAGAGAACATGATTCCAATTCATCCATACTAATTGACAAAACCGACAATCGTGTTCCAATGTCCAAAGCGTGTTAGATAAAAATCAATCAAGTGATAGGGAGCGCACAATCACAACGAATTAAAACGAGTCGACAATTTGCAACTGCAAGTCCATCAACCACCGTAAACCGTTTTGTGGTGGCTCAGTAAGTGCAAGCGCAGGATGGTCGGCAGGCTTTGTTGTATATCTGCTTGTATAGTACGATATAGCTTATTGTTTTGGTTACTAATAATATAAAATGAAGGTACTAAAAAAATAAATAATGCTCTAATTTGATATTAATTAAATATTCTTAAAGCTTGTATTCATAATTTGACCTGTGAATGACAACTGGGCATATAGTTGGAGCAGATTTTAGTTTACCGAATACATATCTATGTCTTCTTCTATTACCTATACTTCTATATATATTCTTCTATCTTTACTCTATACTATTACGAGTATATAAACAGGGAAAAGGATACACTGATGATTTAACTATTTAAGAAAAAAATGTAAATTCATTATGTTTCCATAGTATTTAATACACTCGTGTGAAGCCGGAACGGGCCGCTAGTAGGTAATAAATCTTGAATATATATAACACAGTGTTTTTTTTAAAATTAACCATAGTACTTACTGCTTCAATATTTCTTTTAGGGCTTCCTCCTCTGCTCCTTGGAAAACGATCTTTAAGTACTTGGTAATAAAGTCGTCTCTTTGATTCTCCAATATCCCTTGGTTCAGCTCTAATGCTCCAAAGTCGTGGTAGCTCTCGGATTCTGTCACGCCGATCAATAACTGGTACCTGAAATTAATAAAGATATATTTGTAGCGGCTCAAATCCGCTACCGCAACCGATGCGCTTGTGCAGTGAGGTCAGACATGATGTGACGTCACAGAGACCGGTCTGCGTGTTCTCGGCGCAGACGCAGATGCCGCTTATAAAAGACGATCTCCGAGACTCCGTGACCACCAGCCTCCCCGACACAGAGAGGTTCGATTCCTCTCAGTCCCCTCCCGTTCCAAGTGCACATCTGAGTGCACTTGTCCTGTCCCAAGCGCATTTTGCGTTATTTTTAACTATGCACTAGTTTAAACTAACGCAGCGCCGCCCCCTCTCGGGAGATGATCGCTTCAGATGAAGCTTGTAAGGACATTCTGGCCATAAGCATGATTAAAGGGTGTTTTTTAGTCAGTAAGTCTGACATAACCTTACAGCCGGCTGTAGGGTATCCATGAGGATTTCTCACCCTCTCCCCCGCCTGGGAGGAAACAAAAAAAAAAAAACTCCGTGACCCGTCCTTCTTGCGCATATGCTCTAGTCAGTGGCGGTGCTAGACCACATGTGGACGTTGGCGACATCAAGTTCGCGAGGCCTATTTTACTTCGCAGTAAAAAACCGTTAAATTAAGTGAGCCAAATTATAAAATAACATCTGAGTAAACGAGTTTTATTGTTGATAATCAAATGATGACAAAAAATAATTACAAACATATAAATTTAATTACAAAAATAGTGGTGCCAGACAGACGATTCTGAATACCTGTAAAGTACTTACTACTCGCTTCCATCACGCAAGTGTTCGAAAATAATAAAAGTCATTATCATCTGCTTAGCTTTTTCCCCGAATTGTTCGGGGTCGGCTACCTAAGCCAGGCCAGGAGAAATGAAAATAAATAGGTAACTAGTAAAATTTTTTTGCGAGGAATTTTTTCCCCTCAGGCGCGAGGCCGTCGGCGGTGGCCGACGTCGCCGACGCCTAGCGCCACCACTGGCTCTAGTATCTAACTAAAGCAGCGCTGCGTCGCGTTTTGATTGATCATTACACTCTCACTGTGGTCACTATTCGCAAGTGGAACCCTTTGCCCGCGCACGTGTTCCTTCCCTCCTACAATCTGGGGTTCTTTAAGAAAGGCGCGAAGAAGCATTTCTGCAGGAGGATTCTGGAGGATAGTTGGTGTGGCAGTTTATAACTGCTGCACCAGCTATCTTGGTGTCTGGACTTTATCACCACTTAACAATAGATGGGTAGATGGGGTAGAGTCCTAATTAGCTATAAAAATAAAATTGGCAAGCAACTCACTTGCTCAGCAAAGATGGGAACGACTCCATTGTCTTGGCTGGCTCGCTGGGTATGAACGAGCCCGCCACCGTAGGTCCCAGTGGCGTTTCGAACTCGCGCGCCAAAATTTGGACGTTTTGTATGTCTGACAACCTGAAAGTAAATTAAAAAATTGGTGTGTATAATGCGATTCATCTAAGAAAAGGACCGACTGGACGCCATATTGTGATGTCATAGCTGTCAATTCAAACCAAATAGGTAGAGTGAGCAAAAAAAAGTTTTTATTTAATAAAACTTATTTACTAAGATTAGGTGAGAAAAGGCATCACATTTTTTTTTAATAACATTTATTTACTAAGATTGAAAAAACAACCCACCGATTTTTAATAATACTTATATATTAAGACTGTGAAAAAAAAAACTAGAATCTAGCTCTTCTATTCCGCCCATCTCTGCATTACCCCCGGAGTAGTTATGACTGATCATGCACTATTACTAGGTCACATACGAACATGCATCCTTTATGTAAAGAAAAGTTTGAAATCGAGTTTCTGAACGCAACTTAAAGTGACATTTGGTTGACGACTTAGGTTATCAACCATTCATGGCCAAAGCTCAATAAGTGAATAAAAATATCTACCGATATTAAATATCAATATTTGTTATTGTTTGTTTACAAATGTTTGGTTTTTATTCTAGAATTAGCGGAGTGCTAAAAAGGGGTTCCAAGTTATTTTTGCAAACCGTACTTTTCAAGCGACATTTGACAGATAGAGGTCATTGGCTTTCGTATTCTTATTTGAATCGCATTATACGGACCACACATCAGCCCCCGTAGCATGAGCACTACAATTTACATTATATCACGTTTTATATCGCGTCTAACTGTCAAACTCCATAGTAATATGACACTTGAGCGTGATAAAAACGTGTTACATATCATATCGCGGTCCTCATGCTAGGGAGGCTGAAGTGTGGTCCGTCCATCTTTTCTTAAATAACCTAACATAAGGAGGTGCATAGGACATATAAATATATAAAGCTAAATATAGAATACTCGTGGCCCGCCCTCGCTCGCTTCGGTGTAGAGCTGTAGTTTAGACTATAGTTTTTGGTCTCAGGCTTCTATTAAACATAATGACTATAATGACTTTCTTTAAATACCTAATTACTATAGGCACGTGCCGCCACCGGCCCCCCGGCCAGTACCGCCCGATCCGGTATGTTCTTGCATTTTAAATCTGTAATATCTTCGAAAATATTCATTTAAATTACATGCTGTAAAGAGCCATATTGATCTATATTACATATACAATGTTTTTAAGGTACTTTAATGGATAAGGATTAATGCTGTATTGCTTAAAATCGCTTTTTCGTAAATAAGCCATTATTTTCTCGTAATAAGTAATTAAAAAGTGGTTATTGTGGATTATCCCTAAGAGACAGACATATACCATCGAGAACTTTTTTGTAGACCTTTTTAAGGTGTACGATACTGTAGTACATTATTTTGATCTATCTCGTAGGGTTCAGCCAGCGTTTGCAATGTAAGCGCAAAAAAATGAGTTTATTTACGACCTTACATTAAAACCCTCTAAAATTATCAGTGTTTCTCTACTATATTATGCATGTATTATACATATAAACCTTCCTCTTGTATCACTCCATCTACTAAAAAAACTGCATCAAAATCCATTGCGTATTTTTAAAGATCTAAGCATACATAGGGACATAGCGACATACGGACATAGCGACATAGGAACAGACAGTGGGAAGCGACTTTGCTTTATACTATGTAGTGATTAATAGTCTGGTACACGAGCTAAACACACTACTATTTACTTGCAGGAAAATTGAAGAAAAAACCAAATATCTTATTAAAAAAATCAGTAATAATATTTCCGTTATTGTTCAATGTGAACAATATCCCGATCGGTGAGGGCGGACACAAAATTAAATATGGCAAGGATGGCTTATTGTAAAATTTACTAATTTACTCGTCCCATATTTGGTATCTTAATCAATAGCCCGCATTTTGAGCTATATCCCAGCCACTTTCCATCAATGATAAAAGGTATTTTTATAATCGTCCCCTCAAATGTTTTTTTTTGTTCATACATTTATTGCAACGTTACGAGTTTGCGAGCTGCTAATTAAGCTGTAAAGCTCGTGAACAGCAAACAGAACTCGAGCTAATATGCACTGTAAGTTGGTCAACATTCCTCAGAATTTCGACGGTCTAACGGTCACAGAGACTGCTGCAAGTAAACACAGACAACGGACAAGCCCTTTATGTTATTTTTTTAAATTTATATATATATATATATATATAATAACTCAAAGGTGACTGACTGACTGACATAGTGATCTATCAACGCACAGCCCCAACCACAGGACGGATCGGGCTGAAATTTGGCATGCAGGTAGATTTTATGACGTAGGCATCCGCTAAGAAAGGATTTTGATCAATTCTACCCCCAAGGGGATAAAATAGGGAATGAAAGTTTGTATGAAACTTTGTCAATTTTAAACTGATCGGGCTGAGACTTTGCATGCAGGTATAAGAAGAATCATAGATGAATGTCATTGTGTATAATACAAGCCTGAGATCAAAAACTGTAGTCTACACCGAAGCGAAGCGAGGGCGGGCCGCTAGTATTGTATATGGGCACATAAAATTCCCATAACATATTTATTTAGAAAGAAATGACACAAGCATTTAATTTTATTTCACTACTTTCCAAAGAAATGAAATTTGATATCATTAAAATTTCATACATTTTCAAATAAAAACAGCACAGTAACATTTCAGTTTGTAACTTTATCAGGTTTCTGTTATTTTATTGATTAAAAATTCAAATCTATCCTTACACGATATGCCATTTCTTAAAATATTTCCTTGATTCAAAGAACAGCTGGTATTCAAAGTAAGTAGCTACTTACTTTGAATCTTCTTCTTCCAATCTAATCAATTCTTATTTAGTTTATAGTAGTTTAGTTCTTTCAATCTAATCAATTCTAAAGCAATAGGATAAAAAGCTTTTTATCCTATTGCTTTAGAATTGACTCTCTCCCGTAAGGGAGTCAATTTAAAAGAAACATCGGAATGACTTCATATAATTTAAGAAGCTTAAGCTAATCGGCAATCATCAACATTTACATACATAATGAGAGTGTCTTACACGAGCTGTATAAAAACAAGCTCAATTTTCGTCTAGGGAAACGTTTCAATTAATTTAATTGCCACAATTTGTGCTGACTCCTTTGAGTCGTTTATATTATTAATCGCTAACGCTAAGCCGTGTTTCTGTTAATTTGCTTTTGTTTTTAATAGGGGTGATGACGGGGTATAGTAAACGAAATTCTATTTAGTCCATCAGTTAGATGATAAAAAATAATGGACACGTATTTTTTCTTTAGGCAATCAACCAAAAAATGACAAAGTTATAGCGCGTCAAAGTTTGGGAGTAAGGGCTCGTGACGTCACTTTTGAGAGAATTTTCACTTATAAGTGTACTCAAACGTGACGTCATGCGACTTTTCAAATCAACATATCTCTGCAATGTTTATATTAGATGAAAAAAGAAAAACTACGTGTCCAATACTTTTTGATAATCTACCTGATAAACGAAGAAAAAAAAATTAGTCATCATCCCTATTCTAAAGCAATAGGATAAAAAGCTTTTTGTCCTATTGCTTTAGAATTGACTCTCTCCCGTAAGGGAGTCAATTTAAAAGAAACATCGGAATGACTTCATATAATTTAAGAAGCTTAAGCTAATTGGCAATCATCAACATTTACATACATAATGAGAGTGTCTTACACGAGCTGTATAAAAACAACCTCGAATTCTCGTCTAGGGAAACGTTTCAATTAATTTAATTGCCACAATTTGTGCTGACTCCTTTGAGTCGTTTATATTATTAATCGCTAACGCTGAGCCGTGTTTTTTTAAAATTTGCTTTTAAATAAATTAAAACATTTATTAATTTTATAGATGAACATTGGGCTTGATTCTAGCATAATATTCAAATTTAATACTAAAGGACATTGCTCGTTCCCCATACATTGAATGCCTTAGAACGCACAGCAATGAGAAAATGCTAGTTGTGTTCGGAATCATTCATAAACTCTAATTAGGCATTTGCTTTTGTTTTTTTAATTGTCTATAATCTTCCTAAGTCGTCAATTTATCTAGGTAATGTAGTGAAGTCCTGTATTTGATTCTTAGTTAATTTAGTCTAAGAAAGAAACTTATTGATAAATGATCACATCGAGTTGTACTCATGAATTTACCCTTTACTTCAACACAGTGAAGCTTATATGTCTAAAGTTTTAATTTTTGTATTTATTTTAGAGGAGCTCGATGGTGCCAGCGGTTAGCGCGTTCGGCTGCGGTCGTTGAAGTTGAGCAACTTTCGCAGTGGTAGGTTATTGGATGGGTGACCTTATAATAATTTACTATCTCGAGCTCCTCCGTGCTTCGGAAGGCATGTTAAGCCGTTGGTCCCGGCTGCATCTGCAGTCGTTCGCACCCACCAACCCGCACTGGGCCTGCGTGGTGGGTCATGTCCCAATCTCCCTATTCCATCCATAGGGAAGGCCTGTGCCCCAGCAGTGGGGACATTAATAGGCTGATGACGATGATGATGATGATTTATTTACATTTGTGGATAAACTTTTTGTTCTGGACTAAATATTTATGTATATTTAAAGATGTACATTGGGCGTGATTCTGGCATAATATTCTTTAATACTAAATTTCACAACTATGTCTACTTTTTTTTTTTATAAAGAGATGCATCGTAAGGAATTCATTACTTTTATAAGTTAAAAGTTTAGAGAACCATGCCAGAATTGGACCTACGTATAATATATATTTAATAATAAATAAGTAAATAAATATTTTCAACACTCACACCAATTAGCCTAGCCCCAAAGTAAGCATTGTAAGGCTTGTGTTATGGGATGCTAGGGTAACGGATACAATACATATACTGTACACATATAAGTATATTTATATACAAAACATATTAAACATCCATGACTGGCGTAAAAATGCTCGTATTCATCACACAAACATCTGCCCCCACCGGGATTCGAACCCGGGACCTCCCGAGTTGGCGACACCATGAAACCTGGCGTACAAACCATTTGGCCATGGAGGTCGTCAAAATACTTTTAGAATTTGACAAAGTAGTTAATTTTTTTTCTTATGTAATCGGTGATGAATAATGTTAAGATCTTACGGTTTCTTCTGGAGGCAACTCATCATGTCCTTTGAACTGGGATTGCAATCTAAGCCCTGCGCGACTTGCAGTGTATACTGGGTTGGGTCCTTCGTCATCGCCCAATCTGATAGCGCAGATCCTGACATCAGTATGGCTCTATGGAAGAGACCTGAAAACGTAATGTTAATGCTATTCATGATTGAAATGATAATAAATCTTTATTCAACTTGTCCTTATTATTTAATGCTCATCAAAGTACACTACCCTTTTGTTTTTGTCGATGGAAAAGCCATTTATGGACCATACCGCACGATGGCGTAGCTTCTAGACATTCATGAGTGCTTGTAACAGCCTAAACTAAATAAATGATTTTAATATGATTATGAGTTAGCGATCAACTATTAATATATGCATCTGTTTTGTTTACGGGTATTGTTTATCTTTTGTGTGTGTCTTGAACGATAAAATAGCCGATAGTTAGTCGCTTCCTCGCCACCGGCAGGACATCTTTCTTAACGTCTGGGAAAGGAGAATTTGCGACGAGGTTATTTATAAGGGTGGACGTTTTTAGAATAACGATGCGTCATAACCATGCCAGGTTTGGGTGCGCGCATCCAATGCGACTGAATGCCGTTATTGGATGCCGATGCCATCTAGTTTTTGTCAACGTTACTATAGCAACAGTGCCACAAACTTATCTGTGCCGGTGAAGATGTCGCTAGCGGTGAACAAATATGACATGAAATTGACACAAATCCATGGATAAATTGTAGTTCACAGTTTCACCACCGGCACTGAAAAGTATGTGATACTATAATGCGATTCAAATAAGAATATATGGGAGAGTAAGCACGATGCTATTGGCATTTTTTGCGATTTATCTAAGGCGTTTGACTGCGTTAGCCATGAAACATTGTTAAATAAAATGAAGCATTATGGTGTATCAAATATTTCACTAAGTCTGATACAGTCTTATCTTTCTGCTAGGATTCAGAAAGTGGTTATAAATCAAGCTGAGTCTACAGGAGCACCCATTTCTATGGGCGTGCCCCAGGGTTCAATATTGGGCCCATTGCTTTTCCTTATTTATATTAATGACCTTCCTCACTTTACAAGAGATTTGTGTGAGACAGTACTATTTGCTGATGACACCTCTTTAGTGTTTAAAGCTAGGAGAGGAAATGATTGTTATGACGAAGTAAATTGTGCTCTCTCTGAAGTCCTTCACTGGTTTACGGTAAATAATTTAAAACTAAACTCTAGTAAAACAAAATGTGTTAAGTTTACTTTACCTAATGTGAGGCAGGTTAATACTAGTTTAAAAATAAATGACCAGCCTGTAGAGTTAGTGGATTCTACAAAGTTTCTGGGTATTACTTTAGACTCGCATTTGCAATGGGATCCTCATATTGATGCCTTATCAAGTAGACTGAGCTCTGCGGCTTTTGCTGTTAAAAAAATAAGACTTCTAACTGATGTGGAAACGGCAAGATTGGTTTACTTTGGTTACTTTCATAGCGTTATGTCATATGGCCTTTTGTTGTGGGGCTCAGCTGCTAATATAGAAAGTATTTTCGTACTGCAAAAGAGAGCTGTTCGCGCCATATATAATTTAAAGGCAAGAGAATCTCTTAGAGAAAAATTTAAAGAAATTAATATTTTAACACTGGCATCGCAATACTGAAAATTTAGTATATGTAAGAAAAAACTATAACGCATTTACAAAAAAAAGTCAAACCCATAACTTTAACACGAGATATAATAACAAACTTGCCGTTCCATGTTTCAGACTCCAAAAATCAAGAGGTTCATTTCTGGGATGTAGTATTGCATTGTTTAACAAAGTTCCCCAAGATCTGATTGAGCTTCCACTAACCAAATTTAAATCTCAGATTAAGAATACTCTTATGAATAAGGGCTATTATAAAGTTAATGATTATCTAAATGATCGAAATGCATGGACATAGTGTTTCTTGTAATTTGTTATTTGATGGGTATGAGTGAGTTTTTGAAACAGTAATATGGTACCTATCTAATGCCGCTTCCTATATACTAAATATAAAATTTATTGTAACTATATATCTATATCCTTAATAATGTAATGGAAGGTGACTTCAGATGTATCTCTGAAATCATTTTTCAACTTGACGACTCTGTATATATCAATACAGGGAGAAAAAAGCAGCCCTTGCTGAGTTTCTTGCCGGTTCTTCTCAGTACAAGGTCTCCCGCCGTAGTTTTGCGAACCGATGGCGTAGCTTCTTGACCTTCACAAGTGCTTGTAACAGCCTAGACTGAATAAATGACTTTTCATTTCATTTCATTTCAATAGGAAAGCCAATGACCTCCATCTGTCAAATGTCGCTTGAAAAGTACGGTTTGCAAAAAAAACTCGAAGCACTTTTTTAGCACTGCTTATTCTAGAATAAAAACCAAACATTTTTAAACAAACAATAACAAATGTTGATAATTAATATTAGTTGATTTTTTTTCACTTATTGAGTCACTCTATGTTGCATTCAGAAACTCGATTTAAAACTTTCTTTTACATATGGAATGCATGTTCGGATGTGACCTGCATGATTATTCATAACTTCTCCGGCGGTAATGCAGAGAAGAGCGAAATTGAAGAGCTAGATTCTGATTAATGTTTTTTTTCACACAGTCTTAATAAAGAAATACTATTAAAAATCGGTTGTGTTCTTTCTTAACTTTAGTAAATTAATTTTATTAAAAAATCTGATGTTTTGTCTCACTTAATCTTAGTAAACAAGTTTTAGTAAATAGCAAAATTTTTTTGCTCACTCTACCTATTTGGTTTGAATTGACGTCTATGACGTCAAAATATGGCGCCCAGGCGGTACTATTCTTAGTTGAATCGCATTATACGATGCCGGCATCGGTGCGCGGATCCGATTCGATTTATCCGATACCGATGCGCATCGATTTCATAAATATCTAAAAACGCCCATCTCTAGTTATTTAAATGAGGAATTCTTCGAACGGCAGGACTAATCCCCCGTTCACTTATTTCTAGTTTCTACCTCTCGGCAGTGGGAAAAGTACCTGGAAAAACTTTAATGAGCTTAAGAGCCCTTTCACATTTTTTTGCAAAAAATCGTAATTTATGAGCGCCTCGTTTACCCCCTTAGAAAAGATTTTGAATATTTCCAATAGAAGGAAACAGTAGATTAATTCTTCCTATTGTAAGTTAATCTAGAATATTTGCAAATACTATTTTCCTTTTTTTGTACTGATCGTTCTACTGCAGCTAGTTTACGGAAAAAACGATAATATGCCCAACTTCAAACGCCTCAATCTCTTAATAATGTTTAATAAATTAGATCAAATTAATTACCACGACATCAAAAATATGTTTTTGTTGTAACATAATGTATTAGAATTTTGATTTTCCATGTCGTTAATTATCAAAAAAAAAACATCTAGCCTCCGTGAGTTTTCTAAAAAAATAATGCAGGTTTACCTCGTATTTTGATATTGAATTAAATAGAATTACTATCAAAAACTTTCATAAAACTAATCTACTATCATTGAGCTACTAAAATAAGTACCGAGTAACTGCGGGTTACTTTGACCTAAAATGTGCACTTTTTTTTTAAAATAAAATTGTAGCTTCTCTTTGTGATGAATATGTCACGTTTATATCTTTCCATTGTGAACTTTAAAGTATAAGTTACAAAGTTATCATACGAAAATAGGAATAAATAATATTTAAGGGTAACTATATATTATTTTAATTTTGGGCCAAAGTTGGCCTTAAAGAGGGTTACTTTAGCTCGTTGAGATTTCTCTGTGAAAAAAACTCATTTTAAACTTTCATGGTCACTAACATTATAGATATTAACGGGATTGTTACCATGTACCTTGTTTTTTATGAGTCTCCGATATTTCGGCACTGTTGCAAGCGCCATGATCACGGAGTAACTCGGAGTACGGTCACGGAGTTACTCCGTGATCATGGCGCTTGCAACAGTGCCGAAATATCGGAGACTCATAAAAAACAAGGTACATGGTTACAATCCCGTTAATATCTATAACTCATTTTAAGCCATGTTGGGGTTAAGTAACCCTTATAACAGATCACCATTAGCATACTGAATACACAAATGGATGTTTTTGCCCAAAAATAATTAAGTTAAATAAAAATTAGTAAACTTACCGAAAACCACAGTTTTGAGAAAGTTTGCGCATGAACTTGCGAACTATTTCAGTTACAAAAAATCCCGCGTTACAATGACAACTTGATACAGGAGCGATGTCGGTAAAACAACACCACACTACGCGCCTATATGGCTACCTGTGATTTTCAACTGGAACTATTACGGTCACCCAAGAGATATCGATGGGGCGGCAAGTTTAATTTTTTTTCTGATTTGGGACAAAGTTTCCCGCCCGAGCTAAAGTAACCCTCACTTACGGTATATATTTTTAAAATTAGATCATTAATAATTATTTTATAAGACTCGAAACATTACCCGTAAAATGCAATATATACTTGTGCAAATCTCCCTACGCGCCGATCAGTATGGCAGCTAATATTTTATAAAAGGTCTCTTAATATGACGATGAAGGATTTATACCATTGGATATAGGTGACAACATCAGAAAGCTAACGCACGCCGCCCCAGTGCCGTGACCCATGATGGTGACCGAGTTCGGGTCCCCGTTGAGATCCTGGATGTTGTCTTTGATCCACTGCAGTGCTGCGAGCTGATCCAGGAGGCCGTTGTTCCCATACACATGCTCTGTGAGGCTGGGTTTCATGAAACCTGTTGGACAAAATGATAGCAATTATTTTATATTTCCTAACACATCTATTCGCCCACCTATCAATTTTTTTTCGGTCCTCAGCTAAAAATACAGCTACATTGAACAAAAACTTTTTACGTAGTTTTGAAGGTGATATTAAGCTCACGTGTTTTTAATAATATATTATTAGTGTCGCCGCACACGGGCCACCGACCACAACCCCAAAACGCCGCCACCGGCATATTTCTTGTAGTTTTCATACATTTTATATGGACTCGCCACACACGGTACGCCGGTGGCCGCTACACGCTACAAATCGTCGTTCCTCGCTTCTTGTGGCCCGCACCGGCCACTTAATGCGCCGATACAAAACGCCGCCACACGTCACTCGCGCGATTCCCCACCCCTCTCTCCCTTACCTGAGTCGGCCGCTGTCGCTTCAGCCACTTTAGTAGCCGCTTCTAGCTCCTCGTGGCGACGTTTGTGACTGTGGCGTGTGGCCCGTGTGAGACGACACTTATTGCTCAACTTAACATATATTTTTGCTACAGAACGTAGAAACTTATAACACTAAGTGGGCCGATAGATGTGTCCAGTAGTATAGTTATAAAGTAATAGTTGCCGCTGATGTGAAATTTTGATGGTTTATTTTCAGTTTTTTTGGATCGTAGTTAGCACATAACCGCGTTGCGGCACCGCGCCGCTAAAATTGGCAGAGGCGTCAGCGCCGATTTTTGCGGCGCGGCGCCGCACCGCGACGCAAAATTGCAGCTTTATGACGTCTTACTTGTTGACAATGATTTAGGGATGTCGAAAGTTGAAAAAATATCGATACATCGATATTTTAAAAAATATCAATATCGGCTTCGATATATCGCGAAAAAAACATCGATATATCGGACCAATTTTCCCAAAAATATCGTACAGTAGCTCACGAAATATGACACGCGGAATAATAATGGAACGAAAATTATCTCCCTAAAAATAGACCCTATTTTCGAATGATGATATAGACAATACTAAATACAGCACAGATCATAGATATGTTGAATATCATTAATCTGAGATCCAGTTACGATTTTTCCAGATACGAATTTAGTTAGATCGTGATATGCCGCTAATAATTAAAAAAATATCGTTTTTGATACGTATTTCGATATTGGTTATTTTGTATCGATGTATCGATATATCAAATCAAAATATATGTATCGGCAAAAAATATCGATATATCGAACAAAAAATATCGATACATCGATACACTTTCAACAAGCCTACAATGATTCAGTTTGTTACTATCACTCTTGCAAACAACACGCGTCAACCCGGAAGCAGTTTTAAAATTAAAATGTCTGACGTTGATGTCTACCTTACAGTCAAGCTCAGCATTTTTGAAAGCAGTAACAAGTTTAATTCCTTTAATTTTTTTTTCTGTATATATTTTGGTAGCCCGCTTAATAGCTCTTCAAATGATGATACACTCATTCTAAAGTATGCGAAAAATTTGTTTTCGTCTATCTTTAATGCTTTGTATTTTCGAGAAAAGTACTCTCCATCGGGATTCATAGCCTTATTAAATGGATGTATCCAGTATCTTCTTTGTCGTATATTTAAAACAGAGTAATGTCTTCTTAATAACAAATAAGCAATAAGTTTCTTACGACGATTCATGGCAGTCACATCTATCCACAAAAAAAAATCACGAGCAACTGGTTACCCTACCATACCTTAAAACGCTATTTTTCGCGACGCCGTAACGCAAACTGCCGATTTTAGCGTAGCGGCGTCGCAACGCGGTTATGTGTTTCGACCCTTAATAAAAGTTTCTCAACTGAACGAGTATTTTATGAAACAATTGAAGGTAACGACACTGTAGAAATATTTATTTATTAAAACAATGAATACATTTAAATAAAAAAAAACTTAAAAACTACTTGATTAAGTCGTTAGAAATGCATGTTGTGCTTGCATCTAGTAGGTTGCAAAGTAGTTAATGTTTTTTTTGTATGCATATATGTCATCATCATCATCATGGGGTACAGGCCTTACCTATGGATGGAATAGGGAGATCGGGCCATGACCCACGCGGGCCCAGTGCGGATTGGTGGGTGCTAAAGACTGCAGATGCAGCCGGGATCAACGGCTTAACGTGCCTTCCGAAGCACGGAGGACTTCGAGATAGTAAATTTTTGGTCACCCATCCAATGACCGACCACTGCGAAAGTTGCTTAACTTCAACGATCGCAGCCGAACGCGCTAACCACCTACGCCATCGAGCTCCTCAATATGCATATATGTATTTACATTGATATTCTTTGTAACCAGTTTTGTGAGCCAAATAAAATAATAATAATAATATTAGTAGGCAGTAGGAAGTCACTTTCATTTCATACTCAAAATATTGGTGATAGTTTTATCTCAGACTATAAAATTTCTAAAAATAATATTTTCTAATCCAACGGCAGTATTCCTGCCTTCTGAACTATTGGTCCTTGGTTTGATTTCCATGGCATTTGTAAGTGTGGTGAGCACACATTTTTATAACCTCAGGTTCGAGAGGTCTAGAGGCCCCAAACGGAGAGGAGATTCCCCCCGTGGGGAGCTGCCATCTACCTGGAATACCTCTAGAGGCACTCGCCAATTCTCGGCTTGAGGTCCCCTTAGGATCTCGCCGTCCTCAAACCCGGTGACGCTAAAAAGGTCAACAGCATTCACACTCAAAAATAAATATTTATTTTCCTTAATCATGGTTTTTGCACGTAGCACAAGCTCTGATTGATTTCAAAGTAAATAACTGTCATGAGAACCTATTTCGGAATAACAAAAATGTATAAAATTCTCATTTAAGAAAAAAATCTGATAAAAATATCCAACTACGATACAATGGAAATTAATGTTTTACTGTTTTGACGTGACAACGTCTTAAATTAGGTTGCGGCTGGGAGTCACTTATGAAAAAGTGTAACGCTCGGTAACGTTACGATGAGTCTCTCGTGTTAAGTTTAAGTTTACATGTACAATGTTTTAGTAAACAAAATATATTTCTATAGTTAAAATTTGTGCAATTCTTATTTTCATTCAATTCCTTGTTCCTATTGTGCAATTTAATTATATTCATATCAATAAATATTCTACCGAGAAAAAGACGTTGTCACGTAAAATCTTCGCCCGTAAAACCGACTTTACAGGCAACCATTTTTTAACATTGAAAATGTTTTTTCGCTCCGTTTTCGCTGAACTGATACCCTGAGGTTTAGGGACACGAGGACGTATGAGGACTCAAAAGACGCGAAATTTGAAGGCTTTAAGAAAATATAAAAAATATTTTGAAAAAGTCAAAAACTTTTTTGGAAATCGAAAAAAGACACTTCTTTCGACCGAAAAAATCGTGTGTTTTCACAGAAAATTTCCGATATTTCGAGAACGGGGCCGAATTTAAAAAATATGTAAAAACAAAAAGCACCTCGGTATTGAACCAAGGAATATTTTAGGTTATTACACTTTTTTCGATGCCGTTGATGGGAACTAAAATTATATCACAAACATGTATTCTATTTTTTTCGATCAATCTATAATAGGAAGATTCATTTCCAATGCCCTTTCAAGCCGTGTAGAGCACGAGATCTATGATTTTTTTACATCTAAGTCATACATATAAGATGTAATCTTTCGGATAACTTTTCCACTTTTTATGTTAAAAGAGTGGTAAGCGTATCGCCTGCCTGATGGAAGCTATAGACGCTTTCACAACTTCATCAGCCTATTGATGTCCCCACTGCTGAGGCCCAGGCCTTTCCTATGGATGGAATAGGGAGATTGGGCCATAAGCTACCACGCGGGCCCAGTGCGTATTGGCGGGTGCTCCAGGGCTTGTTTACCGGTTAATTTTCAAACCTAAATCAGTGTCAAGTACATTAGGAGCGTTTTATTTAGGTTTGGCTCTACCTTAACCTGAAAAAACCGGTTTTCCTAAAGAGCGAAATCAAATAGGTTTTGAATCAATTTAGCGGTTTGTAAAGGGTTTCATTTCGCTCTTTCTGACGGCATCGATAATAAATGAACAACTTGACTCACTAGATGCTAGCAATCGTGTCAATAAATGCATCAATCTCTGAGCTTTAACAAATTGTGACTTGATTAGTTCAAACAAAACAAACTTTAAGCGATGCCGATGCATGCACGTGGCGCTCTGGATTAAACCGGTTCGGACGCGCTCTGAACGAAACCTTTACTAAAAACCGGTATTAACCTTTATTTACCGGTATTTTCGAAACCGGTTTCAATCCCCGGGGGTGCTCACGACTGCAGATGCAGCTGGGACCAACAGCTTAACGTAATAGAAGATTTTTGGTCACCCATCCAATGACCGACCACTGCGAAAGTTGCTTAAGTTCAATGATCGCAGCCTAAGGCGCTAATCGCCCCCTGCAGCCGGGACTAACGGCTTAACGTAATAGAATATTTTTGGTCACCCATCCAATGACCGACCACTGCGAAAGTTGCTTAACTTCAACTATCGCAGCCGAACGCGCTAGCCACCTGCGCCATCGAGTTCCTCGCTATAGACGCTTGCGAAGTCAAAAATATTACTCGCACTGTAGCCTTCCCTGACGTAACCCCGACCTGGTGGATCCCTATATCCTTAATCACCAACAGAAACACAACACCATCAAAAAGTATTGCTTTTAAAATTTCCATTATTTTAAAGCATGCAATTACTTGATGTTTAAATCCAAAGAAAATATAATTAGAAAAAAATCCACGCGGACCAGGCAGCAGACGGGACTCGAACCCGCACCCTTCGCAATCCGGGCGAATGCACTGACCAATTATGCTACCGCGGCCCTCACGGATCGCGTTGAAATTCTTATTATATTAGTATTGTTTTTTTTACGTTTTATAGAATCAGCAAATACATTACAAACACTATAGTACAATGCGAAGAGATGGCGCTGCCTTGCAGCTTAAGGCTAGGAAAATTTCGACGCGGCTAATAGGGCCGTGGTAGCATAATGGTCAGTGC